GTATATTCTTTTTTTTTTTTTGTCCTTTTTGAGACCGGCCGCACCACGCTCAGCCAGTGAGCGCTGTGAGGCTGTGAGCGCACCAGTCATCCCTACATAGGATCTGAACCCCGCGGCGGGAGCGCTGCTGCACTCCCAGCGCTGCACTCTCCCGAGTGCGCCACGGGCTCGGCCCTTTTATCCACCTTTTAATTAAATTAGTGCAAAGAAGGATTTTGACCTTATTGACTCTAAAGGCTGAGCTATAATTCCCTGATTTTCTGGGAATATTAAGTAACCCGATCTCCCTCTAAATGACATTTTTCTTGCCAAAACAGTGCTTGCATAAGTGGCCTGTCTACTTTGACACTGTCAAAGGCAGGAAGAGCCTGCCCCTCATCAGAACAAAGAACGAACCCTGCGCATGAGAATGCCCTAGTCCACAGTTTCATAAAATGTGGTCAGACTCATTCTAATCATGATTTTTAACCAAACAAGTCATTTATTCTTTCTACCTTGTGCTAGACACAGGGGTCATGCTTCTGTCTGGAAGGACTACTCAGATTAATTTGAATAAAAGTCACAACAGGACTGTTTTGTATTATCAGCATGCAATCACGTTTGTGGACAAAAGCTCACAAGCCTAGGCAGATAAGGCGTTTAAGTATCTAAAGTAGCTTCTTTACCGGGCTTGTGAAGTTGTAACAGTGACTGTACTTGGTTCTAAAAGTTAGATAAGGGTTTAGTAATTGTGAAAAATGCTTATTGACAGACTGACTCAGATGATAGTCACTACAGAGGTTTAGGTAATAAGTGAGTGTGATTTAGAGGTGCAGAGGGCAGGCACTCGAAGGAGCAAGGGTACAAGGCGTAGTCCAGTTTTTGGCAAGATGCCAATAGTAAAGCTCAAAACTCATTTCAAAGTAGTTTGAGCGTAATAAAACCCTCGTCTTAACTTCCTGGTCTCACGGAGCTGGGCTCTCCCCTCACTGCAGAAGGCATGCTGGTCAGATATGGAGAGAGCTCTTCTGGGTCTCTGAGATGCGTGGGAAGGAGGGCCAGTTTGGGGGAGCTTGCCTTCGGGAAGGCTCTTCCACCTCATGCTGCTTTTCTATTTTCTACTTTTGTAAAGCACAGAGGACCAGCAAAGACAAGGGCGGCATCTTCAAGTTGCAACCCTGCAGTTTCACCCCACAGTCTGTGCTGTCTGGCTTCTCCCATACTTTATGGGAACTGCCAACTGGACTAAACTCCCTGCCTTTTAAGTTCTCTGTCAGATAACACTTCCTGATCACCAGGGCCACTCAGTTCTCATCGTGCCCTTTTAAGATGGTGTTTCAAGTCCAGGAAGAAAAGCAGGAAAGATGAGCCTAAAGAATCAAGAGGGAAAACCCTAAAATAATAATGACGACAAAAACATCTCTAGCAGTTTACTTGACATGATAATTATCCAATTGCTCACTTTCTCCTCCAGTTCCCAAGTCCTTCCTGAAGCATTAGAACAGAACTGGAAATATATGTATGTGTGTTTGTGTATATATGTATATAAATATATAAACATGTCTGTGTATTTTTAGTGGCTGGCTGGTATGGGGATCTGAACCCATGACCTTGGTGTTATTACACTGCACTCTCACCAACTGAGCTATCTGGCCAGCGCTTATATTCTTAATTATCGGTTTCCTGGAAAAGCCTCAGTTTGCAAAGATGACATCGAGAACATTCACAGATGCTGCACAGTGACCTGTCTCTGCTTCTGGTANTGTCTGTGTATTTTTAGTGGCTGGCTGGTATGGGGATCTGAACCCATGACCTTGGTGTTATTACACTGCACTCTCACCAACTGAGCTATCTGGCCAGCGCTTATATTCTTAATTATCGGTTTCCTGGAAAAGCAAAGATGACATCGAGAACATTCACAGATGCTGCACAGTGACCTGTCTCTGCTTCTGGTAGGACATGTCCTGTGAGAAGTGTCTGATTGAGCGGGTGGTCAGAGCTTGTACTTATGGCTCAGTGATTGATAACCAGCCACCTGCTCTCCTCTCCACAGTTAGAATTAAAAGGAAATGATTGAGGCGATTGGAACAGAAATAGTGTAAATATAGCAATTAAAGAATCCCACAATACTCCATTTTTTATTTCACCGACTGAGTGACACGCGTCCTACAGAGCAAGCTGGCATCTGGCTGGCTCAGCCTGGCGGCCAGCATGTGCGAGCAGGTGCTGCTGGTGGGCCGATTACCTGATGCTTCCTCCTCCTCCTCAGAGTCCTCCTCCTCCTCCTCCTCCTCCCCGTCCTCCTCCGACTCCTCACTGTCTTTGCCACACTCGCCCCTCTTGGCTTCTACAGAGCATCCCTCGGGCTTCTCCAAACTGGCAGTCAGGTTCAACAGGGTGAGGTCAGGAAGGCTGCCTTCGGGGTGGGCCAGTCTGTGGGCGGAGAGCGGCAAGTCAGAGGATGGAGGGGTGTGAGCAAGTCAGAGGACGGAGGGGCNCTCCTCCTCCTCCTCCTCCTCCTCCCCGTCCTCCTCCGACTCCTCACTGTCTTTGCCACACTCGCCCCTCTTGGCTTCTACAGAGCATCCCTCGGGCTTCTCCAAACTGGCAGTCAGGTTCAACAGGGTGAGGTCAGGAAGGCTGCCTTCGGGGTGGGCCAGTCTGTGGGCGGAGAGCGGCAAGTCAGAGGATGGAGGGGTGTGAGCAAGTCAGAGGACGGAGGGGCAAGTACAAGGAGGTAAAAGATAATGAAATCAGCGCATGGACAAAGACCTTGCAATGTGGGGTGTTAGCATCTTGTCACTTGTTTTTGGTTTGTTTTAAGTTCTTTCTAAGAACAGACTGTAAACTCAGGTTTGTTAGCTTTTCTAATTCAGGTGCTAATGATTACTGAATCATAAGCGCTATCGACACCTAAACTTGACATTCTTCCCAGAGGAGAAAACGGTCAGAGTTTAGGGTGCAGAAGCATGAAATGGCATCGTGGAGAGCAAGCATTTCATGGCTTCACAGGGGACTTACTCATTTTGGTGGATTGGTAATTTTTTCTTGATGCTGCTCAAAGTAATTGAAATAGAAAGGAAAAAAAGGGAGATGAAAACAGAAGAGTTACAGGACTGTCAGAGATCACGTCGCATGCTACATATCACCCACGATTGCATTCCTGGGGCCGCTTGCAATAACGTCCTAATGCCAAGTGCATTCCAGGAGGGCATCGACAGCGTGCGTTTGCTACGAACCCTGGGCTCGGCAACGGACTTGAGAATGGACAGGATTGCGGGTTTGTAAGGGAGAGAACATACAGACTGCTGAGGCAAATTACCATGCTTTCATGTGCTACTTAGGGAGTGAAACTCCCAGAGAGAAGGCTGTTACTGCAGCTGCTACTATGACTGCATAGCAACATGTCCTCAAGCCATGATGGCCTCAAACTGTAATGCCATGGGCAGGGCACAGTGAGGGAAGATTGCAAAAGGAGGGAATCAAAGAAAAACACTGGAGGAAGCCTTTTGGAGGTAGGTCCAGAAAACCTACTTGTAGAACCGTGTAATAATCTGCAAGAGCTCTGGGACTGGGTAGAGCTGGGAGTAGAAGAGAAGTGAACCTCTCTGCTCTCTGTGTGTAACCTCCGACCTCCACATTTGCTGAGGGCATGGGGAGCTGCAGAGGCGGGTCTGCACAGATGCAGATTTCAGAGGCAGAACTAGCTGCAGTTTGCTAGAATGAACAGCTGTATCAACTCTCCAGGAAAGCCTGTGCACCTTAATTCAGCACTTTTCCCCCTAGCAAATAAAAAAAAGATCTTGATTTTCCAAAAACTAAATAAAAGCACACTCTAGGAAAAACATTCCCCAAAACTTCAGGCTAAGGAAGTCACAATACTTGTAATTCTTTACTGATCATCATGTGCAAATTATCCAATGATCACATGAAACATGTTTACTTTGGGACTCCAAATAGATATGGTGAAGAACTGGATTCTCAAAGAACCCCCTCCAGCACTTCCTCAGATTCGACCATCTTGTATTCCTTTCTCCACAGGGAGTTTATTATCTTTTCTCTGTGCTTTCTTTAACTTTACTGATAACGTTATTTCCTTGCTTTTATTATGATTGTGGCTCCGGGCTCCAGGAATCAAAGAAAAACACTGGAGGAAGCCTTTTGGAGGTAGGTCCAGAAAACCTACTTGTAGAACCGTGTAATAATCTGCAAGAGCTCTGGGACTGGGTAGAGCTGGGAGTAGAAGAGAAGTGAACCTCTCTGCTCTCTGTGTGTAACCTCCGACCTCCACATTTGCTGAGGGCATGGGGAGCTGCAGAGGCGGGTCTGCACAGATGCAGATTTCAGAGGCAGAACTAGCTGCAGTTTGCTAGAATGAACAGCTGTATCAACTCTCCAGGAAAGCCTGTGCACCTTAATTCAGCACTTTTCCCCCTAGCAAATAAAAAAAAGATCTTGATTTTCCAAAAACTAAATAAAAGCACACTCTAGGAAAAACATTCCCCAAAACTTCAGGCTAAGGAAGTCACAATACTTGTAATTCTTTACTGATCATCATGTGCAAATTATCCAATGATCACATGAAACATGTTTACTTTGGGACTCCAAATAGATATGGTGAAGAACTGGATTCTCAAAGAACCCCCTCCAGCACTTCCTCAGATTCGACCATCTTGTATTCCTTTCTCCACAGGGAGTTTATTATCTTTTCTCTGTGCTTTCTTTAACTTTACTGATAACGTTATTTCCTTGCTTTTATTATGATTGTGGCTCCGGGCTCCAGCCCTCTCCTCATCTGTTCTTAGGTAAAAGGCTGCCCTGCTCTCCGTACTGTCAGAGTGGACAGCATTCCTCTATTGGTCTGTTCGCCCCGCCTTTGCTTATGCATCCACAGCCTTGCACGGTTCTCGGTGTGCACTTCTCTACCTGCCCCTGCATCGTTTCACTCCAAGAATGTTTTCTGAGGACCCTCATCTTGAAGGCAGAAATCCAGCATTGCCCTACTCACCTCCCTTGCAAAACGCAGTGCTGTGCTTGATGTACGCTATGATTCATTGCATGGTGGGTGAAGAAATTCTATGTACTGGAGAGGCCTTCTTATTTGAAACAGAAGAACAAATTATGTGACATGGAGACTTGAAGAGGCTCAATTCTGTCCTAGGACTTGACTTTGGAAAGGTATACATTAAGCTAGTTTTCATTAAAGAACACGGAAACTCTACCATTGTAAAATGTCATTAGTCCAAATTCCATCTATTTTTAAATATTCTAATTTGGAATATGTGGAACTTGAAGAGGCTCAATTCTGTCCTAGGACTTGACTTTGAAAAGGTATACATTAAGCTAGTTTTCATTAAAGAACACGGAAACTCTACCAGTAAAATGTCATTAGTCCAAATTCCATCTATTTTTAAATATTCTAATTTGGAATATGTGGAAATGTAAACGACAGTCATCCCATTTATTAGACTCTTTTAAAAAAGGAGATGTCTTACAAATTTGTAGTGTTTATAATATAAGCAATATTTAAGGAATGTATAATGTTTAAGATAAATTAAGTTTTAGAACTCGTAAGCACTTTTAGAAGATTGTATTTACATGTAAGCAATTTAATATCACATCTTAAATATGTGCAGTGTAATCCCTCCAGAAAAACCTATGGCAGGATTGGATACAACGGCCTCAGTTTTTTTATGTGTAGAAGAAATAAACATGACTCCTGTTAAAATATTTTAATTCAAACTGTTTACTAAATCAGTTTGAACTTTTGCACAACTATTCATGTTATTAAAATGTTATTAAAGACCCACTGTCCTCAATACACTCCCCTATCTCATACCCTGTAAGGTAATGTCTACGTTTTAATCAATCCATAAGCTGAACTGAAGGTATACCACACTTTCAATCCAGAAGTAACATTTACAAACACATTATTCTCCTTATAAAACAACATGGAATATAAATAAATAAGTTATGGGGGAAAGAAAGCTTATTTACTTTATAAAAGGATTCACCCTACCATTCTAATGAATTACTATTAATTCATTAAATAGTTCCCTATTAAAAATTGGACACACTTTACATACAGCATTACAGGAGCACATGTAAAATGGGAGAGAGGTATGTTTGGTAACGTTTCCTCTGGGGCATAGCCCTGGCCTCTCGACATGTTAATATTCTTACAAAAATTTCCAGTGCAATCTAGAGATTTCACTGGAAAAAAGGTAGTGCTAAAGTTGGAATGCTTCAACTTTTTAATTATTTTGGGCAACTTTGCACTTTGACACTTCTATGAACTCCTGAGTGAGGTCACTGGCCTTGTGACTTGGGGTAACGGGCATAGGCTTCCTCTCCAGAGATAATTGTGGGAGTAGTGGCCTCAAACTTCATATTTGCTGTGCCTGGAGCCCATCACACTGGCTCCTGCCCTCTTCCGTGTCCCAGCCACTTCCCCATTAGGCACATGCTGAATGCTTTATGAGAAACACAGAGAAAAAGAGTTGTTCCTTATGTCTGGAGGGTTAAGATTTAAATAGTCGCTCAAGATTTCTAGCTCAAGTCTGTAATCTCACTTCTCTACCATCAGCTAAAAACCTGAGGTTGACTTTTCTCTCAGGCTGCCACTAAAACTGCCCCTGAAAGAAACCAGCAAACCCTCATCCCTCCTGCATTGGCAGTCTGCAGAGGGACTCACAACATTTTCCACACTTCCCTTCCTTCTAGAAGTCCTGACTGCTAGGGTTCACTACCCTGTTGTCTGCCTTAGGATTTTACCCAAGAGGAAGAGAATGGAATAGAAAACCATCAAATCTTCAGAGTTATTTTGTTAATTGGACTTATTGCGAAATACATGTTTCTACTAACTAAATTACTAGCTTTATTACTAATGACATGAAGTTATGGGAGTAAATATTTTAATTCACCTACTTGATAAAGAAAAGTAGCAAATTAGGTCCCAACGGCTCTTTTCTCTGTACTCTCAGGGCACATTGAGGATAGATCTGTGCACAACACACATCAAAGCTGCTTTTTACTATGTGTGGACAATGCATGTGTTATCTCCCCAGCGAGACAATGGCATCTTAAGGTAGGGCCATGTCTCAGTGCCATCTCTGTACCTTTTGTGGTATGCAAACATATTGTGAAATCTGGTGATGTAAAAGGATTCCTTCTTCAACAATATACTGATCTTTCAAGTAGAGGTATATTTGAAGAAACTGATGTTTTAAAACCATATATTGTTGTGATTATTTTCACTTCATTCAGAAAATAACTATTAAGTATCAACAAATGGGTAAGGCCCTGGGGTGGGTGATTTGGGGACATCGTAGTGAATTATACACAACGCTCAGGCATGAGGTGCTTATGCCTCTAGCGAGGGAGATAAGACAAGCAGCTGGACAGAGGACTGGAAGGCAAGTGTCAGGACAGCAGCAATGATAAAGTGCTACGGGAATTCAGAGGGAGGGCAGATTACTTTTAGCAGGGATGTTGGCATTTATGAGAAGGTTTGTGGAGGAAGTGGTTCTTGAGCTGAGCTCTCAATTGTGTGGTCAAGAGGGAGATAAGCTCTCAGGCAAGCCTTGAACTAATGCTCAGAGAACCAAATGAATGGAATATGTCTGAACCAAGACCAAAGGCTGAGCACCAGCTGAAGACCCTGGACAGCCTCCACATCCACTCGTCAGCACCATTCGGTATTGACACCAAAAGGTGCAGTTTGCAAAATACATCCATGAACATACCTGAAGGCCACGGTCCACTACCTGACAACATGAGTTTTCATTTACAGAGCAGTAAAGAGTTCAGCACACCAAGAAATACTTTTTAACAAAAAACAAGAAGAAACATTGAAGTACCCACCTATTGATTATTAGATATACGCGGCCATTGACTTTGGCATGGCTACGAGGTGAGAGATGGAGGCACAAGGAGGCAATGGAGACAGGTGGAGAGAGAGAGAGGAGATTGTTAGACAGAGAGGCATGGAAGGACTGTCTCGTTAGCTTCCTGTCCTCAGGTGGACCATCATCCGCACAGATCTCCTGCCTTGAAGAAGAGTCTAGGCAGCAAGATTCAGTAGCAATGTGAAATTACATGTGTCCTGGAAAGTGCTCGAACAGCAAGTCTCTCCATCCTTCTTATCCCTGTCCATCTCATGCAATTGATTAAAAATTTGTAACATTTACGTTTTTCAAGGTACACTTTATCAAAAAAACTAAAAGATTTTTGCTCCTTCCCCAGAATTTAAAAGAAAAAATCCTACTCAGTACCATAGTCAACACACTCTTCTGTGAGGTTTTCTAAAACTGAAGTTAAAAAAAAAGATATTTTATTTCTACCTGCATAACAATACTTTTCAAAGTACATCATGGGCAAATTAAAGTGATATAAAAGTAATGGGTATTTAAATAGTTCTTAGTAAATTGTTATCAATTATATAATATATAATGAATATATTATATTGTAATTATATTATAATATATATTAAGATCAATAGATAAGTGAAATGATATCCCTGAGATTGCTCACTTACAAATAATAATAGTTTCTTTTTTTGCACATTCTGTAAACAATAAATTCTGCTTCACACACAAGTGACATCTGCCTACACTTAACGTGTGTACAAACACACATACACACACAAAGTAGACAAAACAAGAAAGAACAGTGGGATATTTACAGAAACGATAGTGCTGAAATAAATTTAATGAACACAATGAATTGGTTATTCCCAAGTTGTGGGCCCTTTTCTGTAAAGCATCTAGTAAGGAGGTGGAGCAGAGAAAGCAGGGCACAACAGCCAATCCCAGCTCTGAAAACCTCAATATAGTCATTAGATAAGGACTTCAGGAGCAAAAATATTATGGGGTGAAAATTATTAGTAAGAAAAATGATACAATGGGAAAGAGTTGCTAAGATGATGGAACCATATCATATGATCAAAGTTAAAATTTTGGGAATTTTATATCAAACTCTTGCATGAAATCCCAAAATACCACATTTGAGTGCGTTCTTCAGATTCCCACAGGCTCTAGAAGCCTTTTTTTCACAGAACTAAAAATGAGGGTCGGCCCGGTGGCGCACTGCTACAGTGCGCCGCTTGGGAGCGTGGCGGCGCTCCCGCCGAGGGTTCGGATCCCACATACAGACCGGTTCCCGCTCACTGGCTGAGCGAGGTGTGGGTGCAACACTGAGGGTTGCGATCCCGTTGCCGGTCCCGGTCCGGTACGGGCGCAACACTGAGGGTTGCGATCCGTTGCCGGTCATGAAAAAAAAAAAGACAAAAAGGAAAAAAAAAAAAAAAGAAAAATGAAATCCCTTGTCCCTAAACTTGCCAGATAGCTGACTTGACATACTCTGTCCCCACCCTCTTCATTTCCTTGGAAAATTAACTTAAGGGAATGCTGAGGGCCGAGGCACTATGCAAGGGGAGCAAGCAATGAGTGCAGACTGCTCGGGTCATTCAGGTCTCCTCTCTTCTCTCACCATGGCACGGAGCGCAGGTGAGGGCTGTGAAGCGGCAGCTGAGGAAACAGAGTGTGCATATCCTGGCATGGGGCCACGGTCCTTCCCCAGAGCCTGCATAATTAAACACTGCTATACATACTTAAAGGGAACTCCGTAGACCAAATTCAATTTTCACATATGCTAGGACCAAAATCTATCATTCTTTACGTTGGTAAAATCTTTGCTGAGCCATTTTGTCTTCTGCTAAACTGATCCTGAAAATCTCTACTTTTCTGGGTCAATTGTGCCCTATATCTGTGTTTGATTGCATGACAGTACACTCAGGCACATGGCAATAAGAATAACAGCAGAAAAAGCTCCTGCGTACTAGAGGAAATTTAATGAGAAGAAAATAAATATGGGAGAGAAGAAAAGGTATTTAAAAGAAAAAAATTTTAAAAAGGTGTCATTAGCAATTATCAATAATTACATGTCTTTCACAAACATACAAATCTGCTCTTCTAACTGAAAGATTTTCCTTAATTACTGAATATAACTTTTGAAAAAAAGAAGGGAGAGTGTTTATAATTAAATGATGTATGTTACATGGCCAAAGTTAAATATCAAATACTAGTTTTATACACAGATATTACAAGAAATGTCAAAAGAATTATCAAATAATAATTTTTTTTTTTTTTTTTGTCTTTTGTCTTTTTTCCGTGTCCGGCAACGGATCGCAACCCTCAGTGTTGCCCCCGTACTGGACCGGGACCGGCAACGGGATCGCAACCCTCGGTGCTGCTCCCACGCCTCGCTCAGCCAGTGAGTGGGAACCGGTCTGCATGTGGGATCCGAACCCTCAGGCGGGAGCGCCGCCGCGCTTCCCAAGCGGCGCACTATCCAGTGCGCCACCGGGCCGGCCCTCAAATAATAATTTTTAAAAATTATTAACAACTCTCTTTTTAATGCAGGTGTTGTCTTTGGGTGATGTTTCCTGCCTTCAAGTTAGTCAATGAAAATATCTCCTAGTAGTCCCTGAGCTGCTGCTGCTTTTTTTTTTTTTTAAGGGAAATTTTTCTTATTTTTTTATTCTAAATTTTAATTTTTATATTTTGGCAGCTGGCCGGTATGGGGATCTGAACCCTTGACCTTGGTGGTGTTACAAGGCTGTGCTCTAACCAACCGAGCTAACCTGCCAGCCTCTTGATTTTCTAATAACTACTTTATTTCTACTAATACTTGGTTATCACTGAAGGAAGCAGGAGTGAGTATATAGAAAGCATAAGCCACTGGCCCCATCCACACTCTCCTCCCTGCTGGGGTGTTGGGAGGGGATAGGTTTCAGCTAAGCCTGATTATTTATGGTGGCAAAATGACATAGGAAATAATGACTGTCATAAGAAATAATACCTCTTGGTTCCATTGGTTGAGTCATTGACATATGGACAGTCACCTGGAGTATACTCAGAATAAAAACTAAATGTAATCTTAAGTTAGACAAAACACATAAGAAAAATAAATCTGCTAGTCATAAATAAAGATTATTGAATGTTTTTTATCATCAAATAAAATGTTTCAAAATTGTCCATAATTCCAGTTCCTACTACAGCAGAAAATTGAAAGTTTATTATCTTATAAAATGTACATGATGAAATCCTACTTCGTCTTCTATTGACATATTCATTTTTTCCCTTGAAATCAAAGAATTAAAGGGATTTTCAGCCATGGCCTCTGTACTTCTCTTAGCTCTTTTCTCTCTATTTGCTTAACAAGTGTTTTTCCAAGAACCGAGTCATAGGCTAAATATGAGGCAGAGAGGACAATCATTGTTAGCACTCACTGGAAGAATGCTTATAACTTCCCTTTGATGGAACAGACTGAGGGACTTGAAATAACCTGTGTGGTTTGAACAAACACGGGCAGGAAAAGTACCATCCCACCTGTTACCTGCAAACAATTCATATTTACTGATAAGGAGAAAACAAAAGTGATCTGCTAAAATAAGATGTAGTCTTTGCTTTCTCTTCTCAAATGTTATTCTAGTTACTAGTAGATTACAGACTCTCTCTTTTTAGCCAAGGTTCTTCTCTTCCAAAATGGAAGGGAAAATTCTACAAATCATCTTTTCGTACGTTCTCACCGTGACTTTCTTACTGGTGGTCAGTGTAACGTAAGACTCATCCTCTGAATTAGATTCTGTAAAGGTTCTAAAAACACATCCAGCCCAGCCTACACATGAAATACACATCACCAACTCTCAAATATTTTAGTGTGCACAGCTACTCAGCATCTACTCTCATGGCTTTCAAGATTACTTCACATTAACCAGTCATAAATCACTACCAATTATTTCAGAAAATTTCATCAAATATTCTACACTTTTTCTTTCTTTTTTTCTTTCACTCACAGGTTGATGCTCAGGGAAACTTCAAGTTTCAGGGAGAAAGAAGAAAAAGTTTCAAGAGATTGATTGTACAGTGAGGAGATTATAGTTAACCACGACGCACTGCAATCTTGAAAAACATAAAGAGTGGGTGTTACGCACTCTCACCGCACAAATGCTAACCGTGTGAGGTGCTGCCTTTGCTGTTAGTTAGGTGCAACCATTCCACAATGTGTATTCACTGCAAGACATCATGTTGTCCACGATAAAAACACACAACACTATCTGTCAATCTAAAAAAGAATAATAATTGAAAAGGAAAGTTCAAGAGTGAAACTCTACGTTAGATTACTGGCTTCCTGCAGGCTGGCCAAGGCTGACCTGCTGACAGAAGAGGTGAGTGTTTCTTCTATTCGCTCACCTGTAGATGGTGTTGTCTTCCTTGTTAGGAATGGACTTGAGGTCTGTGAGCTCCAGGAATTGGTCATGGAAATAGTGAAGGTGTAAGATGCACACCAGCAGAAAGGAGGTTGGGATGAATATGCGAGTGAACAGCTCAGCTACAGTAAACTGCTTTAAGCCCAGGTCCTCCAGCCTGTAAAACAAAACAGAAAGCAACAAAGACAGTCTCTGCTGCAAACTGCGTCACAGTCTTCCACTCCTGTCACTCACACCATTTGCTGCATCCTCTCCCCCACACGTTCCAGTCTGGCATCTGTTTCCACCAGTACAACTAACCTGCTCTTACAATTGTCAGTAACAACCTCAACACTGCCAAACTTAGCGTCTACTTCTCCAGTGTTGTTTAACTCAAGCCCTAGTCCTTCCTGAAACAATGCTGGTCTGGAAGCACCACACTCTCTGGGTTTCCTGTTCCACCACTATCTCCTCCTCTGCTGCTGGACCTCTGGGGACTGAAATATCCCCAGTACTCAGTTTTGAGTATCCCCCAGATGATCTCACTAGACCCGTGGATTTATAAAACATCTTTACACCAAGGACTCAAATGTGCATCTACAGCACAGCCCCCACCTGTGGACTCTCACACCCAAATTTCTATTGGAAATTGCTTGTTTCATTGTTACTTGTACTTAGTGTTTTCGAAACAGTTTTCTTGATTGCCCTCTCTTCCTTGGCAAAGCTGTCTCTACCCCCCTCTCCCCACTGTCGTCCACCTTGGGCCACTACATGGCACACCTGTCTACCCTGAGCAAAGTTCAGAAATCAGGAAGGCTTTTGTAGTTCTTTCTTTTCCTTCATCTCTCATTCATCCCCTTTCCTCCAGCCTCCCAAGCCCTGTCTCTACACCTCTGCCCCTGCTGGCCACCTGGTCATGTTGATTGCATTGTCACACATCACTTTTTCTCAGCTAGCAAAGAGATATTTAGACTCAAAAATTCCACCAAGAATAAATTACAAGCCACACTGCCTGCAGGGGCAATGTGTCAAACTCCGTTCCCTCTCTGGGCCTTTGCATTTGCTGCTCTCCCTCCTGGAATACTCTTCCAGACCTCTGCCCTCAACTTGCATTTTCCCTAAGATAAGCTCCTTCTTAGCCTTCAGGTGGAGTTTAAATGACACCTCCTTCATGAAGCCTGCCCTGAGCATTCTATTTAAGGTTTCCCCATTATTTACTACCTCAGCTGGTTGGATTTCCAGACTAAATTTCAAAAGTTTACAGAAACAAATCAAAAACGGATAGAGCATTATCTATTACAGGCACAGGAAAAACTACCACCTCATCATCACAAGACTAATAGTACTTGCAGAAATTTCTTTCTCTATGGCACTAATCACTCCTTAGAATCTAAGTGCCAGCACCATAAATGAGGAAAGGCTACTGCTTTGTAAGTCCATGAACCTACCTAAGAACTGAAGAACTAAGCTCAAATTTGAAGAGCAAAAAGCATGACTAAGTACCAATCAGGTGTGCTGCACGTGGAACTGACATTAGAAAAGGTCATCTCATTAAAATTGGGCTGAAAATTTATTTTTCAATTAATATTCGTGTACTTACTATGTTCCAAGCTCAGAGCTAGGTAGAGAGAACACAAAGATCACTAAATCATAAAGCCTGTTTTCAAGGAACTTACAGACATTGATGACATCATATTTTACTAAAATCTTCCTTAAAGATGTTCAGAACAATATGTATTCAAGTCTCCATCCTATTAGTCATTTTTACATCCCGTCATATACCAGAATCACTCACTTTTCTTTTTTCAATCCAGTCATATTTTGCCACAGTCCAGGGAAGTTTTCAAACTGATACGTGTATATAAAGATAAGCACCAGCATAGTGTAAATAACCACAGACATCCAAAAATACTTTAGAATTCTCCTCCACCATTCATAGTGCACCTGTGAATCAGACATTGAAAAACAAACAAGAAAAAAAAAATCACAAAGCTGTTTGGTTCACACACACACACACACACAACACACACACACATACACGCACACGTTTTCTGATCCCAAAGCCTGCAATACAAGTTACGTGGGAATCCTCCACTATTTTAGATTATCTAGCCACTGCTCTCACAAAAATATAATCCAATTATACAGATTTCTTTTTTATTAAGAATTTTTGAAAAACATATGAATTTTTTTTCTGACTTTTTAAGAACTCAAAATTTTAAAACAGTGAATAGGTTGAGTCATTTCCCACTGCAGGATTCTTAGGATGTAACGTGTGAATTTCATCAATCACTTTATATGACAGTCATGGGATTACAGTAAGTTAGAGTCTCTGCAAGGAAGCTCATGCTTGCATATGTTTCTGGGACACATGTGAGAATTAAAAAATTGAGGATATTTGTGACCTACCTGATACAGGGCCACACAGAACAGGAAGAGCACCATGTAGATGATTTTGTACATGACAATTTTACCCTCGAAGCTGACGAAGAAGAACATGCCTCCACAGACATAGATCCAGTACTTGATGAACACAGCCACCACCAGATTGCCCAGCACTTTCATGACATCCTGGTCATCTTCCGCTTCTGCTTCCTCTTCCTCTCTCCCCTCCTCCTTTCTCTCTTTCTTCTCTTCCTCGGCTTCCTCTTCCTCCTCCTTCTCTCTGGGCTCTCCTTCCATTTGTATATCTTCAAGTTCCTCATCTTCAAAACAGAAAACTGTGCTCTTAAACTTACCTGGTTACCTGACCAGAACTGTACTGTGACTGTGTGTGACATAGGTGGACATGGAAACATACACTTTATGAGTTACTCTATGATTGGAATGACTGCAGACTGCTCTAATAAACAAGGTGAAAATTATGACTAATGAACAGTCAATTTTCATAACTTTCCTGAGATATAGTTTAAAAGAAAATAAATTTAGTAATATTTTTGTACTGATCTTTTTATAGCACCTTTTTCATTTCCAATAACCAATGATAACTTTAAGTACTGCAGGATCTATAAAAATTAATAGGCAACAATAGCACATATCAAAATGATTATATCATTTTTGAATTGTAATCATTACATGGCTCTAGATAAGACAAGTAGTACTTTACTGAATGTAGTTAATACTAACAATCTTAACCAAAAAGCATCCTTTTAAATAACTAAAAGTTAATTTTAAAAGCCAAATATAATTTAATTTAAATTAAATCTAAAGAATAAGTATAATTTAACAAAGTTTAAGCAATTTTATGTATTGGAATTAAGAACTTATTTTACTTTGCTTTAAAATATGCTAATATATAGGACTCATCTCTGTGTCATCAAGGCTACCTAAAATTTGAGTAATTTGCTCAAACAATAAATTATCAATTCAGTCTTCACACAGTTAGGGGGGTAAAAATGAAGTGAGTTATCAGAGAAACTATTGACCTCAAATTAACCGTTCTTTACAAAAATTAACTGGTTAATCATTCTGAGTGGAGACATCCAAACTCATGTAGGTAAGACTTAAATCTTATAGACAGACTTTTGTTGCTTAAAAAACAACTCAGTGGTTAAGTCTAAGTAAATTATAAAAAATACGTAAGTTGATCTGTGTTGTTTTTCTTATGGTTTCCAGGGTCATCTCAAGGTTACCCACTTCTGTGAACATTTATAGCCTACTTTGCCAACCTTGCTGACAGTCTCCAATCCATTCCACAAACATAATTCCTTGACATATACAGGGAGTTAGGGGAAAAGTTCTTCTCGTTTTACCTATATGGCAGGTCTAAAACCACAGAGGTGATGATAAAAACATAAACCTACTTTCTTTTTTCTTTGTGATATATTATTTTTAGAAAGGGAGAGGATTTAAGTTTAAAACATTTGTCTGTTTCTTGGTTCTAATACTTACTAAAAGTTTGACCCCAGAAAAATCATTTAATGTCTCTGACCCTCAGTTTTTTCTTCTGTTGGGAGTCACTTTTTTGAGGATCAAATGACACATTTTAAAAGCTGCTTGTAAATTCATGTATACTTTAAAAGTTACATACTAAAATATTGGTATTTATTGCTCCAAGTTAATGTTTGGCCTCCTAGTCTGAAGCATAGAGGCTTTCTGGAGTATTTGGGGCTCTTTCTCTGTAATTTTGCTGAACACAAAATTCTCCAGTCACACACTGTACACACTAATGTACCTTTTTCTTCATTTTCCTGACTTCCAATTTTGACTTCAGATAAAAGAGCTTCCTTTTCTTGAAGGGCTTTTTGCTCTGTGAGGTGCTGCCTCAGCAGTAGCCAGAAAGTAATAGTGAAAAGAATCTGAAATTATAGATTCACAAAACGAGATTTAAGCAACCATTTGCCGTGTAAACACATCCCAACAAACATAACATTTCCTTCACATTTCAGTGGGAGCACAATAAATAAACCCTTTTATTTGCGATAGGGTTAAGACAGCCACTTGATTTCAATGGAAAGCCAGGGCTTTCAAATCCCCTTTCCTGAGAGGCTCCCGTGTGTCCTGGGGGCCAGGAATAGACTCAGCGCCATGCAAGGCCAATTCAGGAAAATGAACTCAACGGCCCAATTGCTTCCGCCTGGGCAGGAGATGACTTCAGCAATCGGATGAGTCCTCAAGATGCTCATCCGTGATTGCGTCCCTCCTGACGGCGACAGCACTACAATTGTAAAGGAAGATACCTCTGGTATGATACCCCTTTCACTCTGCAATATTCTTTATTTTGAAGAATTCCATACATGAGAAAAATAAAATTTCATCCCAGAAATAGAACCCCTTATTATTGCCATTAATTTTCCAAAGCTGAAGGATGAATAGTTGTAAGTTCCCACACCTTCATATTAATGTTTTCTTGAGCACTAGGGAAAAAATTTTTGACTTGGGGGAGCTCCATTCTTTAGGGAATCCAGTACCTGGTACACAGCATTTTTTTTCTTTTTTGTGATTGCTTTATTGAGATATAATTCACATACCATACAATTCACCTATTCAAAGTATGTAATTTAGTGTATTTGCAGTTGTGCCACCGTCACTACAATCAATTTTAAAACATTTTCTTCACCCTAAAAAGAATCCCCAAGGCAGTCATCGCCTTTTCTTTCCCTCTCAGACCTAGCCAACCACTAATTTATTTTTTGTCTCTATAGGTTTGCCTAATCTGGACATTTTAAGTAAATGGAATTCTATAATATGTGCTCTTTTGTAAGTGGTTTCTATTACTTAGTATGTTTTCAAGGTTTATCCATGTTGTAGCAGTACAGTATTTCATTCCTTTCTTTTTTACCACGTAATATTCCATTGTACGGACATACATTTTATTTATCCATGCATCGGTTGATGAATATTTAGGTTGTTTCTATTTTTTTGACCATGACAGATAATGCTGCTATGAAGATTTATGTGCAAGTTTTTGTGTGGACATAACGTTTTCAATTCTCTTGGGTATATAAACCTAGGACTGGAATTGCTGGTCTTAAGGTAATTCCACATTTAACATTCTGAGGAACTGACAATCTGTTTTCCAAAGTTGCTGCACCATTTTACATTCCCACTAGCAGCGCATGACCATTCCAATTTTTTCACATCTCCAGTAATATTTGGTATTATCTGTCTTTTTTGATTATAGCCATCCTAGTGGATGTGAAGTGGTATTTCACTGTGGTTCATAGTAGGCTTTTAATAAACATTTGCCAAAGAAATAAAAATAAATAAATAGGCAACTAAATGGGTCATTTTTATTTTGAATAATTGTCCACTGAACTATCAATAAACGTCAACTCATCACCTACTTTCAACATAAATCAGTGTGACAAGTCCTGGTAAACATGCCTAGGACCTAATGAAATCAAGAAACAGAGTGTCTACACTTCTGGAAATCTGGCATGAAAATTCTGGAAGTCACTATGAATCAAACTATAGCTGCAAATTGGGAAAGAAGTCTGTTTTTCTAATGGATATTCAGAGAGGTTAGGAGTAATTGGGGCCAGATGGAAAATCCTTCCTGGGGAAGGTGAGTTAAAAGCCAGTTTTAAAGACTATTAGTGGATGTGGTTTGATGGAGTGGGGCAGGAGACTCTAGGGCTTAGCATAGCAGTGCTGCAAAGCAGTTGGGCTGGCTCCTCTGGAGGTGCTCGGGCCTTTGAGGACCCAGCCACATTCTATTTTTCTCTCATTTTTTATTACACTGACTCATCCAGTATTTTGCAAATAGTGTATATTTAGTAGTGTGTTTTTACAAATGTTATTGTGGTAGAGATTCTATGAGTATGGAGTTTTGTTGTTACTGTCTATGGCAAAAACTTGCACTTTTTTTTTTTTTTTACCTCCTGGGTACACAAGTATAAATGCAGACCTGAGTTTTCCAGAATCACTTTTTTTTTTACAGTAACAAATTTATTTCCCAAATTATGTTTCCCTCCCAAAGAATTGTTAATTTTAGATTAGACAGGAAGTAATTCTGCTAGTTTGTTGGCATGCATTTTTAGTCATCTCACTGATCTTCTGAGTCAGGCTGTAATGGATTTACACAGTTAAAAAAATAAGATTTTGAATTTCTCTAAGATTTTGAATTTCTATTATAGAAAAAGAGTAACCTACCAGTTATGCATGAGTGTGTGTTTGTGGGTCGGCATTTACGGGGAAAAAGAGGGTGGGAGAGTGAAAGAAGAGTGTTAGATAAAGGTGATTTCTGAGTGAGAGTATATAATGAGGGATTTTCAACATGCAGTATGGTTTGGGAAAGAAAGTAGGAGTAGGGTAGGTGTGGGGCAGGCATGGGTAAGTGAATGAATAAATGAAATTCCCATGGTTCATGCACACAGGGGATTATGGCCTCACCTTTACCTGTCATTAGCATTCACCTGTTAGGATTTTTTTTACCTTTATAAACCTTCACCAAAATATCTGTTACAAGGACCAATAGTCTACTAAGTACCCCATTTATTCCTGATTGCCTTGGATATTAGGTGTCTGGTAATCTTTAAAGAAGAAAGGTGAATTTCATATGATGTAAATGAGTGTCTCCTTCAGAGATACTAATTTTCCTCTGTCTACACGATTAAAATTTCCAAGGCTCATTCAATACATACACATGATTACTTTTACTATTTTAAAACAAAGCCATCAACATAAAGGAAATGTGTGTTTAGAGTCTGCCACTTTGTTAACAAAACAGTAAGTTGGAAGACTGTAGGGTAAATGCTGGACATAGCCCTAAACCCCCTCCCCGTGCACACCAGAGGTCCCCATCCCCCCTGGGAAACTACCCATGGCCAAGGTAGTTACCCAAGGAAAGGCGCATCTCCTTTAAGACAAACAGAAGACTGGAGGAAGCAGGGACCCTAAGTAAATGAATTAGCTCACTGGTGCTATAGCACTCTGGTGCCAGGAGAGTAGCATGTAGATTAACTTACCTCCTCAGCCTGATCTCCTGTGTACTCTGCGTTTGCTGGGTGAGGGTGTGCGCGGTAAGCTTGCAAATGATTTACACCCCTACTTTGACCTGTTCACTATATAACTGTTGTACATACCCCGTGGTGGCATGGATATCTAGCTGGCTGGCTGCAGTCAGCGAATCCCTAAGTCTAATAAACTGATGTCTCTACTTGCTAGACCTCCAGGTGAGTTCTTTGGAACAGGCAAACACTACCCGAGTGCCTTCTCAGATTTGGGGCTCCCATGATACAAACACCTAATCTTCTGAAATAAAAAATACTAAAGTAGCTCATGAAACTAAATAAGTTATGAAAAGATTATGAATGTTTTAACTACAGATAAAGGCATATCATGTAATTAGAAGGAAAAAAAGCAAGTATCATACTTAGTTTTTGCTGCTAAAAATGTTTTATAGAACATAATTGGATAAAAATGTTGCGATTAATAGTCAGTGATTATCTGTAACAGCAATGTACTAGGCATGTTTTACAAATTGATAATCTATAAAAGAAAGTTCTCTAACCCCTTGAAATATTTTACATTCTATTTTCCTATTTTTCCTGTCTAATTTCTACTATACTACAACTTATACTAAAAATAACTTATACTGTAATTTTTATTTGAATGGAAAGAACTGTCATTTTTAAGTGAAAGTTAAAATCATGATGTAACCATATGTTCATATTTAAATTATAGAGACCTCTAAGCAATATAAATTATTTTTTAGTCTCATATCTGTTCACTTCTGCAAAGCAGTGAATATTTGAGCCTATTTTTGTAAGGTTTTGCTTGGATATGGTTGTTAGATGATTGTGGTTTTGTTTCATTGGTTTATTTTCCTATTTGCCTGTCCACTTACCTTTGAAGCAAGTTCTCCTGGATCTTTCTTTTCTAAAAATCCCGGGACCTTTTTAATTTCAGGAAGTTCAAAGCTCCATATATACTGTAATACCAACAACAGATTTCCATAGATAACCATGAAAGGAGAGCTGATCATGGCATATTTTCTCCTGTTGCGAATCATCCAAAGAGTGCATGACCAAATCAACAACACAAAAGTCAACCAGCTGTGGTAGGTGATGCTCCAAGCCTGCAGGGAGGAAAGAAAGGAAGAACGACAATAGTCCGTACAGCGGGTAGCCCCCACTCTGGTAAGCTAAAAGTTATCTAAAATGAAAAGGTCGATAATATTCAAACTCGAGAGAGGAGAGAATTGTGGAAAATGGAGAGAGACGCCGTGGCTTAGAGAAGGAAGGAAAGGGAACTACTGACTGCGGGAATGAGCCTGCTTTTGAACTTCCTTTAGGGAATAGTCTAAGGCAAAGAGGTCTTCATTCCAAGTCCTTTTCCCTCTTGCCCCAAATCTCTTCATCATTACCCTACTTTGCAGTAAGAAAATAACTGTGTTTTCTCCCTTCTTTTTCCAAAATAGCTTGGAGCCAGCAGTTATTTATGAGTGATGGGTAAGTGTGGGCCACAGCTGGGCTGAGAGATGGACGCCTTGAGAATCCCCAGGTGAAGCATACAAGCTGGGCTTCAGAGGTCAGGCTCAGTAGATGATCCAAGAAGATACACACGATGGAAGCTAGAACATGCACATGAGCAAGTTGTGTGTTAGGACTCCACATGCCCCAAACAATAAAGCCAAGTTAATGGAAGCCAGCCTCAGCTTCTGTCCTGCGGGGGTTAGGAATGAAGAGCCATCAGACCCTTCAGACAAAGGATACATTTTCTTCCATTCACACTAAGCTTTCGGAGAATCAGAAATGTATCTGTGAAACAGCAGCTACCTCAATCTGTAAAGAAGGCTCACAAACACTATTAACTTCAGGAAACCTGTTATTTCTTACCATCATCTCTGATAACGTTTTTTTTTTCTTTGTTTGTTTTATTTTGGTTTTGTAAAAAGACCTTTAAAAATATTTTCTAGATATGTTTGGGGCTAATTGAAATGAATCACATTCAAGAATATTATGAATTACCTAAGGTCCAAAATATTTTACAAATTGGTTTTGCTTCTAGAAATTAGACAGGTATTAAGATAAATCAAGTCAGCGTGGAACAGAACAAACAACTATTTCTCCTAAGCAATTTTCAAATGTGCCCTAAAACACTGCTAGCCAATTCAGTGATATTTGTTGGTTACAATACATGATAATTATAATTGGATATTAAAATTGCTTTCATTAAAATTAAGCCTAAGCAATTTTCAAATGTGCCCTAAAACACTGCTAGCCAATTCAGTGATAGTTGTTGGTTACAATACATGATAATTATAATTGGATATTAAAATTGCTTTCATTAAAATTAAGTTAGTGACTGATAACCATTATCAAGTCTAAATTATATTCACGAAAATATTATTGCTTGAAAATAGCATGTCAAAGATTACACAGCATTTAATGGCTTTGCATTAAATAATATACTCATATTTAATGCATTTATCCCAGTATAAAATGTAGACGTAACTTTTTCATTTTTGTGTGATCCAGGAAAATAATCTTCACAGACATTATAATTCCAGCAGACTCCCTCTGACCCCCACTGTTCCTGTTTGGGAGGGTGAGGGTAAATGAGGTAGAAAAAGTTATGAGTTATGAGGATTTTTTAAAAAATTTCTTTCCTTTGTAATGTCAAGTCACACATGCCTTTCAGTTGCAGTAGCTGGGAAGTAGAATCCACATTATGCTGTTTCCTATGTTTGGTTTCAGTATTGTCTGATAGTTTAGTGTATTCGTACTTTGTAGTTTTGAATAAATACATATATTATTTTAACAGACTTGGCTCCTGAAAACTGCTGTTTCTGCCTGTAATTAAAAAGTCTGCTGCTTTCACAGAAGGTAGGCACTTCTAAAACATTAATATTGTGGCTCCACTGAAACATTAAGTGGCACCAGACAAGGGCACATCTTTAATAAAGGATTGTGCTGGTTTTACAATAAATTTTTTCCTATTATGTTACAAAATGTGTATTCAAAGGTATTTTCTAAAGCTCTTTTTCTTTAAAGAAAAGATGTAACATATCTGGCTTAGAGAGAAAAAAAGTAGATTTTTTTGAGTTCAGCATCAGAATTGCAAATTGCGTTTATAATACATTTGATGTTTAACAATCAGAGAATTACTGTAGTTTAAAGTAGAGGTTGATATATAGAAAATGTCAAAAAGTACCTAAGAGCAAAGAAGTAATTTCATTTAAGGAATAGAGCTGGCCACTCCCAAATGAGCATCTTTAATCTCCAGGAGATTTCTTTTTTCTTTCCTCTCATGTGTGGCACTGTTCCTGACTAGAAACTGAAGTTGTTACACACAGTTCATCTGGGAAGCACCTGGACTGTGTGCCTGGGGAAACTGTGTTTAGGTATTTTTTCCCTGGAGTTATAGAATATTTTCATTTTTTATCATCAAAGGGATCTATGGGATGCACACAGCTCATCTGGGAAGCACCTGGACTGTGTGCCTGGGGAAACTGTGTTTAAGTATTTTTTCCCTGGAGTTATAGAATATTTTCATTTTTTATCATCAAAGGGATCTATGGGATCTCATCACTGACTACAGAATTTGGAAGACTTGTGTTTTAAACAAGAGTATTAGGTTTCTCCAAAACAAATCAGATTTCCCAAGAAAATTTGTTTTTAGGTAAGGGAGAGATTAGAGCTTCTTATATCTCCTATGCATAGGCCAAAGGATTGTTTTTGAAGCTGTGATGATGGAGATGGAGAATGTGCCTAGAGGTGCATAGACCTGCATCAACTGAGAGCTCACAATCCAAAGCAGCACTGAGGAATCGTGGTGGTTTATGCTTATGTTGGTAAAAAGTTACTGCAATTAAGGGGGAATAAAGTCTCCTCCGAATCCAAGATGTGACCATAACTCTCACTATCTGAAAGAAATAAAAGCAGCTCATGTTAACCTTGAATACCTTGAATACTTTTCAGAAAAGCTACCAAATATGTCCTCTTAAGTTGGTAAAATAGGGGACAGTCTGACTTAAACTAATTTGAGAAAAGTGTATTAACATTTAAAAGGATAAGTAGAGTTGAAGAGGACATGATTTTGCAATCTATAGAATAAAAATCCCATAAAAAAAAAGACATAACCATCCGTTCTCCACCAAGACACTGAAGAAGATTCAGACACTTCTGCTGGCATGAGAGGATGGGAGCCCTGGGAGCCAGCAGGGGCCGTGGGCATCACGGCTGCTCATACATACCATCATGGCAATGAGGGCACAGATGTAACTTTGTTTCATAATAAACTGGAACACAGAGACCATGGCATGGACTTTAATGCTTCTTTTTTCCTCATGGCTCCTTTCCTCTTCAAGTTCTTCTTTCTCATCCTCCTCTTCCTCTTTCTTTTCTAGATGGACAAATACTTGATATAACTATTTACACAAATATTTGCAATTTGTATAAATGTCCCAAGCAGTGCAGCACATGTATGCTTTTGGAATAGCCCTTTATTTAAGACTTCAGAAATTATTTCCAATTAATAAAGTAACATTTAAAGAATCAGTAAATTCTGCCTGGTCAGTGTAATGGGACTCAACACTCAGAAATTGCAGAAGAAAATTTCCATTTGAGAGGGAATGGAAGGCAGCCTCTAAGACGGTCCCCAATGCCCCCACCTCCTGGTGTTCATGCCCTTGTGTGACCCCTCCCTCCAACTGTGGTGGGATCTGTGACAGGCTTCTAACACTTCAGAAGGGTGCAGTATCACTTCCAGGATTCAGTGAAGAAAGACTGTGGCTTTCCCTTCTCTCAATCTGTTGCTCAGTTGTTCTGAGAGAAGCCAGCTGCCATGCTGCCAACTGCCCCATGGAGAGACCCAGGTGGCACGGATGTGTCTCCTAGAGCACATTATTTACATCAGCAACAAACCGTCCTCAGGAGCCTGAGGCCGGCCACAGCTGTGTGAGTGGTCATGGAGGCAGCCTCTCCCCAGGCCAGCCTTCAGAAGAGATGGCAGCCCCCTTGACTGCAACCGCATGAGTGACCTCCAGCCCAGGGAACCAGCCCAGTCACACCCAGATTCCTGACTCAGAGAAACCTGCCACACTGATGTCTTGAGCTACGAAGTAAAACTTTCTTTCTGTCCTGCTACACATAAACGGAGTACAGCAGGGAGTTTTTTAGCCCCACGAAGAGGAAATAGAAGCCACTGACAAAACAGTGACTGTGCAGACGACCCCATGCAGGCATCGAGGTGAGGCTGTGCTATGTCCTTGGACAGAAGCCCACTGTCTTTCATTCCTCCACTATCAGGACTGGATAAGCCTAGGGTTAATATGGAAAAGTCCACAGATCATACACAGGGATGAGAACACTGAATAGGATGGATTTACTACATGTTACTTCTCTGGTTGTGACACATTTTGTGTGTACAGATTCAATTAAATTTTTTTCCAGCTTTTGTTTTACTTTTGAAAGTTCAGTTTATAATTTGAATATGTTTGGTTTGTCCTTGTCAGCAGTCAAAATTCCATTTATTCTCATGTGAGTAATGTGTAAATAGAAGGATGACTTGGCTGTGACCTGAACATCTCTAATGTTAGAAGTCACAAATGCCAATTCTTGGGCACCGGCCTTTGTGATTCTGGTGCTGAGGCTCCAAAGACCGCACTTTGAAAAGCAATGCATTTCCTCGAGCTTTTCAGGTTAAGCCTGAGTTGCAAACACATGCATGTAGGAAGCAGAAACGAGCAACAAACTGCTGGGTCTGATGCTCTGTGGAGCTCACAGGTGCCCCTGGGGTTGAGGGGAGGGTGTGCTGGAGGAACTGACCTTGATGTAACCTTACCGAGGAATGTGGTATAATGTGACTAACCAGTTGCATGTTAAGTAGATAGACTGTCAGGGGCAACTACAGGAAGTACAGATAAAGAATTATGAAGAACAGAACATCAGAATAAGCCTGATAAGAAATTATGCAAAAATACCCTCAGAGTAAGCTTAATGTACCACTGATGCAAATCGCACAGCTGCTGGCCCTTCACTGAGGCAGGATCCTGTCTAACAACTCCAGCTCCAATTCCATGTAAACAGAGACACATGGCCACCGCAGCTTCGGAGTCACCGTGCTTCTACATGCATTCTGCTTTTTTTTTTTTTTCCCTCAATACTAAACTTTGCTAATTCTGTCTTTATGAATTGGCAATTGGCAATTCCTCGGCTGGCGCAATGACAATAGAGGTCAGAGGTCGAACCAACTGCTGCCTTGCAGAGAGGAGGGACTCATGTTGCCAGATGTTCACATAACTTCAGGGGATTCCAGAAATTTCCATTTCTAGGTCAGAGCTGCAGCTTTAAAATATTGATTACTATTAAATGCTATGCAGACCACAAAACAAGCCTGAGGGTGATACCTCAGCCCCGGGCCACATCAGTTTGTCATCTCTCATGAGTCTGCTTTCCTTCAACATAATAAACTGAGAGAAAAGGGAGAAAAGGCCTTGTACAAGTTTTAACCATCTCCTTTTTTTTAATAGACAAATACTCTTTTTGAAAATATTCATACGTTAACCAGCAAAACTATCAGCTATTGCTACAATATCAACCAACAGAAAGACTAACATACATATATTTCATGTAGCTATAAATAAGTTGACATGTTTAAACTATATTTTTACCTTTTGTTTTTCAAAGTTTGCTCTAATTATGCCACTCATTTTGTATGGAAGGATAGAACACAAATAGCAATATGTTGGGGCAAAATCGAGGCAGAACTCAAGGAAACCAGCTTAATTATACTGACCATGGAAGACAACACTTTAGTTTAAAAAAAAGAACCAGATCAAATAAAGAACAAACAGAAGAAAAAGAGATACTGGGCTGGTGGGTGAGAGGGACAAGCAGCCTGGGTGGAGCGTGGGCCCCAGCTGGCTCCTTACCTGCAGAGTCCTCACAGGGCTCCCACCGGTACTGGGGGGTGGCATACAGGTCACCTTTGGCGGGGCCGTTCTCCACGGGCAGGCTGGGGTGGATGGTGTGGTAGTCCACGGGGTTGCCATTCACAGTCACCAGCAGGCCCTAGGTTGCAAAGCACACCTGTGACAGCAGCTCTCGGAGTCAATGCAGATACACCACCTTCCTTTACTCCATGCACACCCCAACCGTGAAGAGCTGATTGAAACCTCAACAATGTGGTCAATTATCCAAGTATTTCAGCAAGATGAACTGTGTATATTCATTCTCTTCCTACATCTAGTGTCCACAGAGTGATGGCAGTAAAATGTACACCGGATCTTGTTGCCCTTCTGCTACAAACCATGCAATGCACCCTCTGTTCTCAGCCTAAAGTGCAAACTCCCATGAAAGCTTGACTGAGGTCTTCATGATCTGCTCTGAGCTCTCCAGCCTCAGCTCTCACCACTATCCACCTCCCTGCCTCCCTCCAGCCACAGGGAACTCTAGACCCTTCCTGGGCGCCGGCCTATCCCTGCCCAACCCTGCCCCACTCCCTATGTAGCGCTGCATGGGATTAATGCAGGCATTATGCACAGCTCAGTTGTAGTTTCTCTGCCCGATGCTGCAAGTGTGCCACCCCCTTGCTGTCCTACTAAGTGCAAGTGCCTGCTTTCCTGTCTGTCCGGCTTTACAATTTTTGAGACAAACATACGAATACACACACACACACACACACACACACACACACACTTGTGGGGATGGTCGGATGGGGAGGTGCATGTGTGTCCATGGACATGTGAGACTTTCTATTTAAATTATGTAATAGGTATATCTACAGAACTAAATGCTTTAAACAAAGCCCCACAAATATGGCTGTTTAAAAGTTTAAATATGTTTTGTATGACTATACTTAATCTAATATCACATGAGTCAGTGTTTTAACAGAGATAAGCCAGATCCAATTTCTGCAAAAAACTGAAAAGCTTAAGGAAATTTTATAGGTGATTAAAATATATTCAAAAGAGCTATAATTCTGTCACTTTTACACCACTTACACAAGCATAATGATAATTCTAAGGGTATACTAACATCAGATGGTTTGTAGTCATCCTGGGTCATGGACAAGAGCTGCAAAGAGCAACGTAGGACAGCACGTTAGTAAGTCAGCCAGCAGCCCTTCACTGTTTATAGATTTCTATAACATTTTACCATAAACACACCCATTCTTGTTAACTATCTGGATGCTAGTATGTTAAATTTGCCATGCAAAATATAAAGGGACAAATAACTGTATTTGATGTTGCTGTTTATTATAGTCATTTTCCAGCTTCTGAGGATAAGTTTTCATTCTAACAGCAAATAAGCAACCATAAACCACATGCCTATAAAAGTTACGTTTTTAAGTGTTTTGTTCTAATAGAATAAACTGCTTAGAACCCTTTGAGACATCTACAGAATTATGAAAGTATTTACTTTTCAAAAAATAGAAGTTTCATAATAGAGAAAAATTGATTTGTGGTACAGTGTGAGATTATTTGAAGATTTGCATATTGTCTACAACAAAATAATTATTATAGGACTGTGCTTTTTAACAATATCAGTGCCAGATGACTTGGGCTTGCCCCACATGATAATCAGCACAGCAAGTGGTTCTGCAGCATATTTGTTCAGGACTCATTTCCATTCTTAAAAATCACTGTGAGTCCCAAAGAGCTTTTATTTATGTGGGTTCTGTCTATCAATATCTACCATACTAGAAATTAAAACAGGCATTTAAAAATGTTTACTTATTCATTCATTAAAATTCTAAACATTCATTATATGTTAAAACAAATTATTCAAATACCTATATTTCTAAAAAAAAATAGTAAAGATAGTGTCATTGCTTTACACTTGTGCATGTTATTTTGACGTCTGGTTTCAGAGGAGACAACTGGATTCTCATATCTGTTTCTGCATTCAACATGCTGTGACATGTTGTTTTGGTTGAAGTATATGAAGAAAATATGGCTTCGCAGAGGTGATGCGGTTGGAAAAGGAGAGTATTTTAATACTCTCTCCAGATAATTGTGGACAGTCTTCTTTGCGACTACACCAAATCCAACCAGTGACAGTTTCTTGAAAGTTAGCTGCCGTGTAGACTCTGACCCCATATCAGTGTACTTTCCAGTCTCCGGTATGTTAAAAGCCCCTGGTGTCTCCTGCGCCGTGGGTGGGTCTCTGGTCCAGGCCTTGTCGTCTCAGGCAGTGGCGATTCTGAAGCAGTTGGTTCGCGGAGCCATACATCCCCACCCCATATTGACACGTTTCATGACACAACATTTAATATCACCCCCATGTCACCGGAAACGTCCTTAAATACTGGAAAGTTTTCACGCTCTCAGTGATGGATACAGGTTTTCCAAAATTCTAATTTTTCCTCAGATGCTTAAATTTTATCATCGGCGACAAATGCTGTCAGTCGCTCGCCTTGAAGGGACGAGCTCACTTCATGTAGTTTCAAGTCATTGTCTTGCAAACACCCAAACCTCAAGAAACATCATCTATGCATCAGCTTTTTTTTTTTTTTTCAAGAAACAGTGCAGCGCTGGGGAGACACCTCGGTACCGCTCACAGGGCTTTCACATGGAGGGCGCCACAGAATATTAAGGAAACCCGTGGCGGGGCTTTGGTGGGTGCTGCGCATGCGCAGCTGACCGGCGGGGTCCGCAGTCTCTGCGCATGCTCAGCTGCCCGGCTGGCTCCGCAGTCTCTGCGCATGCTCAGCTGGCCGGCGGGCTCCGCAGTCCCCCACGTGCCTCAGCGCGCCTCGGCCTCGATCTGTGCTTGGGTGCTGGCTCGCACCCACTTCTGCTTTTGTGCCATTAGGCAGAGATCATAAGTATTACTGTGGAAGCAGTTTTCAGCTTGAAAGGGTCTCACAGAATCTCCAAAGGGCCACAGGCCTCACTTGGAAGATGGCCGGGCTATCCTCTGTCGACATATATTCTTTTTTTTTTTTTGTCTTTTTTTGTGTCCGGCAACCAATCGCAACCCTCAGTGTCGCGCCCGTACCGGACCGGGACTGGCAACAGGATCGCAACCCTCGGTGTGGCTCCCACACCTCGCTCAGCCAGTGAGCGGCCGGTCTGTATGTGGGATCTGAACCCTAGGTGGGAGCGCCATCATGCTCCCAAGCGGCGCACTGTAGCAGTGCGCCACCGGGCCGGCCCTGACATATATTCTTTAGTGAAATGGGCAAGATACTCTGAATTTTAGGGAGGTAGCGAGAGGAAAGAGCCCCCATAAATATTCGGACGTCCTAGAGTGCCCCGTGTGCTCTGCTCTTCTGTCACCTGCCACAGCAGCTTACTCACAGACTGGCCCTACGGGACAGTCACGCTGAGAACAGGACTGTCGTAGAGAAACTCACCTGCCAGCATCAATCGGAAAACCGACTCCTCAATTCTCTAACGGACTAGGAAGCAAAATGCTGACTCCATCCAAGAATTACAAGAGTATCTGTCTTTAAAACATTGCTCATAGGCCATTTTAACAAGTCAATATAGCACTGGTTGAGGTGAGCTCAAAATGATCAATAAATGATCAGGAGACGATATAAATTATATATTATATGTAACATGCATGAATAATATGAATTACCATTTATGACTCACTTCTCCTTATCAGTGCGCACGACTGCCTCCTTAATCACATTCATACAGACTGTCTGGGTCTTCTCTAAGAGGTTATTGAGTTACTATGGCCAGCTACCCAACAAGATGAAATTATTTTTTGCAATGTACTTTTTGACTCTGAAATTTCACATCCCAGTGCTAATAGATTACTTCACTACTTTTTTGTTTTAAATAAAAAATTATTTTTTTAAATTAAGAAAATTCTTTCTTTAGAGGATTGAGACTTCAGTAGAAAGCACTGAAATGTAAAATGATGTTTCTATAGGGTCTGATGGGACCATGGTGTTTCCTTTAGAAACATTGTGTTCCCTTCTCTGAATAGTCCTCTCTGGTACTGAGCCTTCTAAATCAAACTATTTCTATAAACTTTGAGCAACCTGAGTTTACATATGATTTTATAAGGCTCATATCCAATAATAAAATACAAAACTAAGAAAATATGTTAGGAAATGAAATGTCCTCCCGGTGGCTTACTTTTCTCTCGTCGGTTGGGTAATGGGTTGCATACCACAGGCTCCGCCTCCGCTGGGCCATCATTTGGATAGGGCTACAAGCCAGGGCTCGATCCTCTTCCTTGGTCCTCTCATCCTGCACCTGAAACACAGAGTAACAGGAACAGCTCTGCTTCCCAAAGCAGTTCCTTAAGCAGCCTGGGTGGCCAAGAGAAAGCTTTCACCTTTGCCTCAATATGATTATTTTTTAAAGTGAATGTATGGGTTTTTATCCCACGTATGGCTTATAAACACATATATGGGTCATTATCAAGGCACTTTTTAAAATGAAAAAAAATCTGCCATGTAATTGATAAGCACATCAATTTTAAGTGTTCTCTGCTTTGTACTAAGCCCCATACGTGATAGAATATGCTCTAATGTTAAATATCCACAGCTTCTCAATGCATATTCTAAACTGCACTAGAAAGCAGCTAGAGTAAGAGCTTCCAAGAAAGTGCACAGTTAACTATGTAAGCCAACTGCTGCTTTATTAAAGGCAGAATCATCTAGAGATCACACACAGTATTAAGCAAGAACGTATCTAATGCACAAAACTGTTGCCTTGCTTAATGAGAAATTTGCCTAAGTTAGACAATTGGCCTCGGAGAGATTATAAAGAGGGGGTGTAAGAAACAGAATGATCTTAGATGATTTTGTATGTTTTCTCAATGAAGATGTCCCAATAAAAAGAGCATTAACATATCACTGATATGAGAGGGGAGGAATTGGCTCAGTCTCACTGCCCAGTTTCTGGGTTCCAGTGTCAGGGTAGAGCATCCAAGGGGAGCACCCTGACACCCTGGGCGGGAGTCTGTGCTTGCTCGGGGGTGGGGGGTTGCTGCTTTTCTCCATTTTTCAAACATGTTTGACAGACTTTTATCTTAGCACTCATATTTGGTGGCATTTTTCATTAAATGTGCAAGGTCATATGGAACTATGATATAATCAGTGGTCTTCTCTTCATTACCTCAATGAGTCCTTCTGTCCCAGCCAATTTGAAATAGAGACCACCTGAAATGCTGATGCTAGTATCAAGCTCTATTCTCCATACACCCCTCCAGACACCGGGATTGGTAATATTGTTGTCACCTGAATGGCCTGTACCTTAGGTTGTCTCCTCATTTCTCTCTGTGCCCACGTTTGCTCCCCCGACAGCCCACAGCCACGGAGCCAGAACATTGGCCTGATGTTTAAAACAGAGCCTGTGCCAAGCAGCTGCATGATCTGATAGACTACATGAGATGTCACAGAGAAAGCTAAAGGCACTGGGCATTTTCAATAACATGAATGCCTTAAAGTAATTTTTGTGACGTGTAAGACATTGTTCAGAAATAGCTCCCACAATATATTTTAATTTCTATGTACACGTTTTTATTTGTATATATACACATACATATATCCATTTGTATGTTGGTGGAGGAAGAAACTGCAATAAACCCTTTAAAGGATTTTACTGGCACAGTCAAATTTTAGAAGACAGTTGGAGAAAAACATAACAAAAGATGACTGGGATTCCTTAGGACCTTATAAAGCATTTTGTGTCTAAGCAGCTGTCAGCAGCCCAAAAGAAAGATGATCTATGAGAACTCGCTGACAAGGATGGCCTCTGAGACCCTAATCCTGCGCTTGGCTGTCTCGCCCCCCGCCCCCCAGTCTGTCTGTGCAGCGGGAGGAGGTGTCACATAGGCGGAAGCAGCACAGGTCCCATTTCTGCAGGTGGCACTTCTACCAGGGGTGGACAGGGACGTGCACCTGACAGTCTCATGGTCACTGTCTGGCTGAGGTCCCATTTGCTTCTTTTGGACTGCCTTTTCGCTTGTGGAATGTACACTTCTTCTTTGCCTACTGTGGTTGATGCTCTATGTGAGCCCCTAGATTAGCATCTGACGCAGTTGGCCTTCAAGAAATATTTGTTGACTGACTGACTGAATGTGTGGACATTATCTGTGGGTACGAAGACAGAAAAGAGGAGGGTAGGAAACTGCTCCAGGGCGCAGGCTAGAAGGCTGCAGTGGCGGTGGGACTGGACCACTGAGACTAGGGCCTGGCCATGCTTGTAGCACTGTTTGTGAGTCATGGGGTCCTCCCTGCAGGTGGAGGGGAAAAAGGTGAGAAACCCCCACCTACACTACTTGCCTCCTTCATGTGCCAGTGAGCTCCATACAGTCATTTAGGGGAAAGAAAAGCCGACTGAGGTTTTCTGTGGGAAAAGAGAGAAGCCACACAGGCTTTGGTCCTCCCCTCAAGAGTGCCACATCCTTGTTCATATTCCCACAGGGAATAAACGAGTCCTCAATTGTGCTGGAAGGTCATGTCCTAATCCCCATCCCTAGCAATGGGAAACTCAGGAGGCTACAGGCACCACCGAGAGCTGGGCTATCACACTAACATCCTCAGAGGCTAGGAGGGCTGGAGAAGATTTGGAAAACTCCAATCACCGTGATAATAGTGGTTATGTGGTCTCTAAGACCCTAGCTTTGTTGTCAAACTTGGGTTTAAATCTGATTCACACTGGGCCGGCCCGGTGGCGCACTGGAGAGTGCGCCGCTTGGGAGCGCGGTGGCGCTCCCGCCAAGGGTTTGGATCCCATGTGGAGACCGGTTCCCGCTCGCTGGCTGAGCGCGGTGCAGGCGCAACACCGAGGGTTGCAATCCCGTTACCGGTCAGTAAAAAAGACAAAAAAAGGAAAAAAAAAATCTGATTCATACCACTTAGTAAGAGTGATTTTTAGAAAAATTTACTTCTCTCGGCTCATTTTCCTCATCTGCAATATGAGCATAATACCTATTCTTCATAGTTACTTCATGGATTTAATGAGATGCTGTGTGTGAACCGCCCAGCATATTGCCTGGCACTCAGTAAGTGCTCAGTGACAGTGCGTCTTCCACTGTCTGCACCACCTGCCATTCTCAGCAGCACTAGTGATCTGAGCAAAGGGGACCTGGTTTTCATTCTGATAGCGTTTATGTTCACTCAATACTCCTCGCAGAGATAAAACTCTGTAACTAGAACACTAGAGTCATGTTGACTCTAGTATTGATTCGTCAATAGGTAGTAGGAATGAATCATTTCACCTGGAGATTTCAGGTTATTTTGCAGACAAGATCATGAGAACATTTTTATCCTTACAAGGGGCTCTTGTAGCCAGATACGGATCAGGGTGGCCAGCGTGTAGTACATCACCAGCAAGAGGATGGGGTTGGCATGGTGATACCACGACAGCTCCGGGTTTACTATAATCTTCCAAGTACTGGAACAGTCAGTTTGAATTACTGATTTGATACCGAACAACCTGTTTAAAACAAAGAAAATGCTTAAAAGATGCAATAAAGCATATATTCCTAACATAAAATAAAAACACCTTGCTGTCAGTGCATTGATGAGCTACTCCTAGGTTAATCCATCCTATTAGGTATTTTAATTACCGTTCTGCATATATAACTACATCTTTAAATAACAGATGTAGACTATATATATAATATACATATATTCATCCTTAAATCATATGTGTATACATAAAATTGATGCCAACATTAGCCAAATGATCGTTATATCAGTCCAAAAATCGAGTTAATTCTAAATCCTTGCACGCCTATCAGACATTTATGTTTTAATTATCAATCAGCCCTATTAAAATTCTGCATTATTGTAATGATAACTATGTGGTAACATGTTACTAAGTCCAGCTAAATGAGCAAGTATTTTGTTTTTGTCTAGATTTATCATTAGCTATTCAGCTAGAGTTAATATTATTGTGAAAATATTGACATTGGAGATAGTTCTACAGTTCAGCCATAAAAGTCATATATTATATAGTAGAATTTCTGTAAAATGTATTTCCGTCAAATTTTGCTCATGGGCAATTTGATTTTTTCAAAGCTTTATAATTAATCATTTACTTTGAAATATGATTTTATGAGGCTCGTTAAATTTTAAAGTGGTTTATTTTTTATGCTGATTTATAGTATATAATCAGAATCTGTCTGATTATATAGTGGAAATTAAATAGTAGAATGTATGTGATTATATAATGGGAAAATGTGTAAAATATGATTCATTTAGAAGTTTCATTTTGACATGCGGTTTTTCTAAAAAAGAACCCTACGAAGTGAATAAAACTTTTACATGTTAAGTGAGTTTCATACCCTTCGATCGTTTGCATGTTTCATATGAGAACTTCCTTTAATTTTATGTTACATTCTTCATTCAGTTATAAGATCTTCAAAGACTGAATGTCCCCCCATAACACTTCTCAGTGCAATGACTGTTTTCTATCACAACACGATGGCAGTGTTAGAGTATTGCTGAGCACAGATTTCAAAGTAAGTAAATTAAACTAAATTTCTTAAGTTTTATCAGAAAAAAATAAGTTATACTAGAATTTGCTCTTATTATAGGTGTTGGGAAAATATAGGAAAATGGTCAGGGCCCCTCAGATGTTCAGAATCTTGCCAAGCATTTGATGTAAATAGGCACATGTGCTCAGGTGTTCCTTGGTTACTACTTAATGTAACTGCGCATGTGCACCCAGGTGTCCTGGGTTATGGACTTAAGTATAAAGGATGAGTGGCTCTGATCCTTAGTGCCTCCCACCCCTGGGATGCCCCTGGTGGGGGAGGGGGCATGTGAAGGCTACTACTGCTGCTAGTGCCCCCGGGACCCTCTGCAAGGCCACCACCATGGCCGGATCTGTAAGCTACCAGACCTGTAAGCTGCTGCCCTTGAGGAAGCTGAGGACTGAGCTCGAGTCATCTGCCAACACCTCCCGGGATCTTTCCCAATCACCTAGCATGGAACTGCGTGTGAGGCGTCTGGTGACCCAGTCTGTACAATGGGTTTGAAGTGTCTGAGCCCTAGTTCTGATGTAAATGGAAACTTAGTATAACTAAAATAATAACTAAATAATGAAACATTTTGTCCTTAGTTATGATTTGCCTTGCTTTACAATAGGTCTTCCCCGCCGCCCCAGGTACAAGCAGATTTTTTATAGTTAGCATTTGAAAGAAAAATTTCCTGAGTTCTCTTGCCCTATACCTTGGCACAAATGCTAGAAATGACCTCATCAATCGTCAGTTTAAAAATACCTGTTTGGCCCCATCAGAAATTTAACTAATTTTCTGCAGCTGTTTGTAAACTGCACTATGTGCCTTCTAGAAGGCTTCATATCACATCAACACTTCATACCTTACCACTGATATCATAACTTATTTCAAACAGATTTTGTGCATTTCGACATGAGCACTGAAGAATCAGACATATTTTGTACTACCAGTGCATGGACCTAACAAAAATGAGTACAAACTATAGAGGGCAGATTGCTGTACTCTATAAGGCATTTTTTCCTAACAGAGCTATGCAAATACCATAAGACCTAAGATTTCTCATATGTATGTTTTAAAGAGATTGGAACCCATGGCTAGGCAAGCTGTAACCAGCACCTTGGGGCCCTGCCAAGCTCCTGAGCCACGGATCTGGGGGAAGCTGAACCCAACTGAAACCACATAAAGAGCACACCAAAAACACCATTTCCATGCGGGTAGCTCACCACCGCCACTGCAATTGCCATGGCTGCCACAAAAATGGCTAGTCTTTATAGCAGCAGTCTCAGCCACCATGCAGATGGCATGACAGACTCCCAACTGTATTGACACAAGGAGAGGCACCAGTGGAGACCAGAAAAACAAAACAAAACAAAACAAAAAACCCGAAGAGGTCCTCTTTCTCTGCAAAGCACACTCCAAAGTAATAGAAGAAGCATCTGATTTATAATAGGAGAGGACTTTATCACAGCTGTCTCAGTACTGGACAGATCATCTAGGCAACAAACCAACAGAGGAACAGTTAATCTATCAGATGGAGAGAACAAACCTATGGTTATGGAGTGAGGGAGAGGGAGAAGGGAATGTGGGACGGGAAGGAGATTGGATAAGGGGCATAAAGAATAAGTATGATTTGTAACAATGAATATGCTAATAGAAAATAAAAAGAAAAAATAATTTGAGATAATTTACACAGGACTAATACAAACTTTATGCTTACTGAAAAATAAAAAATACACTGTTTTTAAAAATATGAAAAAAACAATAAATAAAGAGCTTGGATACTGCAGGAAGGACTGTGTGCAAGACTGGTCTACAAGGAAATGTGTACCTGAAGTTTCACATCGTCTGGCTGCAACTCTACCATTCTATGCAGTATCCCACTATTACTTAATTTACCTAACATTTTATTTTCCAGGATTATACCTCCACAAGACAAGACAAGGAAGAGTGATACCATGATGCATGTCCTGCAGGGGTCACTCTCTACCTACAATGATGGCACATGCCAGCTTGGTGAGAGCAAAGTGCTAACGGAAGGCCTTTTTGTTGAGGGTTTTGGGATGGGCACTGGGAAAAATAGTCTGGAGGAAGAATGCAGGACATTTGGGACAGTTAGTCCAGAAAAGCTAGATGAGTGGATAAGGGAGAAGAGAAATCCTGAAAAATTGATGAGGTGTTGCCAGGCTGTGGGGTTGGGCTGGGGAGAGAGTCAGAGATTGGGCACCATGAGAGCAAAGACTATTTTGCTACTGATGCATCACTGGGTATTTATAAATTTCATTTTATCTTGATTACACCCACATAACTTCTAGGGTCTTTAAAGAGGAGGTGGTCTAGCATTCAAACTAATTGAATACAAATATCTATATATTTAAAACTTATCAGTCACAAAATACACATAAAAATGACTATCTCAAATCTCTCCGTGGAAATGTCTCTGCTGAGAATTATGTGAAGGTACAATTGCAGAACAGTGTCTTCCATTTACTGCTTATTTGCAAATAGAAAGATAAAGCTTTTCTCTTCCATGCACTTGACATGTCCTATGTTTATCTTTCATCCCAGGCCTGGTTGTGTAGACAATGACTATTGCTTGTATTTGGTAAGTGACTCACTGTCTCTGAGCGTTCACTTCCTAATGAAAAACAGAATGTGGGGGTGTGGTGAGGATGTAAGTACGTAGACAAAGAAAGGACATTTGTTAGATCTCACGCTATACACTTCAGATCTCACAAACTCTTCTGTTTCCCAAAGGATACCTGAAGGTCCCCGGTGACACTCAGCTCCCAGAAGAGATGGTCTGCTCTGGGGCATAATCTCCAGCTTTGGTACCTGGCCTGTCTCCCCTGCTCTGTATCTCATGACAGCATTCCTGTCCACAGAGCACGGCCTCACTTCTCTTCCCAGATGACCACAATGCCAAGGGCGGTCTCCCTGCCTCTACGTTTTCCCCGGTCCACACTGACCACTGCCAGGGTTACTTCAGAAAGCTCAGTTCAGCAGGCTGCCTTTTTCTTCCTATCTCCTATTTCCCCACTACCTGGAGAATAACCCCAAGTCCCAGCAACATGTCTCCGAGGTCTTCAGCAACCCAGTCTCCTCTTCTTTCCCCCTTGGCATGTAAACTTGAGCTACACTGGACTATTTAAGGGTTTACATAAAATCTCAGTCTCTTTGTTCTTGCCTATTCCTTGTTTTTCCAGGATTCTTTCTGATAGCTGTGACTTTTCTGGGGTCACCAAATCAAGAATTAGGGGCATGTGTTACCAAGTGGGCTTTTCCCACTCCTTGGCAATGGGGATGCATGGAGTAGGCCAGGCAGGGCTTCACAGACTCTCCCATGTCTCGCAGGACAACTCCAGCCCCCCATCCCAAGTACATCCTGTAATATATACATATCAGTGTATTCCTGCTCAACTGCCCCAAATATCGCAGGGTCACCCAAGACACCAGCTGTCCAGGAATGGTGATTATACTACGACCATGTCACACCACTGGAACTCTAGTGCTAACTTCTGACAATTAGTTTTTCCTGTAGTCGCCACTTCTTCCTCATTTTTTCTTTCAGCCCAATGTAAACCAACACACTAAAACCAATCCATTCTCTTGGGCCGGCCCTGTGGCGCACTGCTACAGTGCACCGCTTGGGAGTGCGGTGGCGCTCCCGCTGAGGGTTCGGATCCCACATACAGACCGGTTCCCACTCACTGGCTGAGCGAGGTGCGGGTGCAACACTGAGGGTTGCGATCCCGTTGCCGGACACAACAAAAGACAAAAAGGAAAAAAAAAAAAAACCAATCCATTCTCATTCCTTCTACCTATCCCTTTTTGTTGTTGTTGGACATCCCTGACACCATCAAGTCCAGCTCCAAAGGTACCATCTCCGGGAAACGTCTATGATTTCTCTGAATTGGAACCAATTTGCCCTATGCCTCCATAACAACTGTATTTGTAGTCATAATTTGAATTT